TGTGTCCGATTAAATACTAATGATATCCTTACTGATTGGATGATATTCAATAAAAATTCGTCTATATTTCGAAATGTTTCATGAAATTCTATGTCTTACTAACGCCTGTTACCCCTCGACCAGGAGCTATCCATCCTCTTCATGTCTAATTCCAATTTCTGACGTAGTGTGTTCTTCGGCCTTCATCTTTTGCTTTTCACTTCACGATTCCAAGTTAGCGCTTGTTTCGTGATGCAGTTTGGTGATTACCGTAATGTATGTCCTATCCACTTCCAATGTCTTTTCCTAATTTCTTTCTCATCTGGAATATCGTCTATCCTCTCCCACAGAAGGCTGTTGCTGATTTTATCCGGCGCAAAGGATATTGAATATCTTGCGTAGACAGCTATTTATAAATATTTTGACATTTATGATGACGGTCATAGTAGTTCTCCATGTTTCAGCTCCGTACCATATAATTGTATTGATGTTCACATTGAAGATTCTCACTTTAAAATTAGTTGACAATTGTTTTGAGTTCCATATGTTTTCAGCTGTAAAACGAGGCCCTTGCTTTGTCAATCCTCACCTTTACATCTGCAACGAATCCTGCTTGTTCATCGATGATGATCCCCAAGATTCCACATCTTCCAGAATTTCGCCATCAAGTGGGATTGGCTTGACTTGGATTGTTCTCAGTATTTTATTTGAGAATCTTGCTTCATTCTTTGTGTATGTTGAGGCCTATTGATGCAGAGGCTGCCGCTACATTTGCTATCTTCGCCTGTATTTGTCCGTGTGTATGAGATGGAAGGGCTAGGTGATCTGTGAAATCCAAATCGTCTAATTGATTCTGAAATGTCCATTGTATTATGTTCTTCCCCTCAGATGTCGAGGTCTTCGTATTTCATTTGAGCACCAGAAGAAAGAGAAAGGGAGAGAGTAAACAGCCTTGTCTGACTCCGGTCCTTATTGGAAATGCATCTGTCAGCTGTCCTCCATGCACCACTTTGCACTGTGGTCAGTCAAATGAATTTCAAATGATGTTGACGATCTTCTCAGCTAATGTCTGACTTCAGTGCTTCGGCTGTCGTAATGTCAGGTCGTTTTGCTTTTCCATTATTGATAGTCATGCTGATTTCTTCCGTCGTCGGTGGAGTGACATCTACAGGTAGGTCTGTGTATGTTGCTTCGATGTCCTGTGAGTTGAATGAAACTGGTCTGTTCAGCAGTTCCTCGAAATATTCTACCCATCTGTTCATCTGTTCTCGAACCTGCGTGATTGTCTTTCCTTCTTTGCGTTTGACTAGTCTCTCCGGTTTACCATATCTCCCTTCTAGTTTCTTCGTTGTATCATATAGATGTCTCATATTTACTTCTCTTACAGCTTTTTCTGCCATCGTCGCTAGTTCTCTCATGTATTTCTGCTTGTCGGCTTTAGTGGCCCACCTTACTTGCTCATTGCTTTTCTGTATTCAGTTTTTGCCTTGGATTTCCCTGTTCGTGTTCAACTGTTGTTAATTGCTGTGTTGTTGTTCTTCCTTTCTTCAGTCTTGTCCAGGGTTTCCATAGAGTTGCATTCCTTATGATGATGCTTCTTGCGACCTAGAACCTCCTGACACATTGAAGTTCATGCTCCTTTGATCACTTTCCAGTTGTCCTCCATTGAAGATTCCTCTTCTTTCAGTAGACCCTGTTGAGCTTGGAACCTGTTGTTGACAGTTATCTTGGATTCTTTCAGTTTGTTAGTATTTCGTAAGAAGACTGTATCAAATCTTTTTAATGCTGTTTCGCCAGTTGTCTAGTGTTTCTTTAGCTTCATTTCATCTTGTCAGCCACTAGTTGGTAGTGGTGTGAAGCTATATCAGCTCCTCTCCTGGTTTCTCATTTACTCCATTGTTCTTTCATATTTGCTATTGTTTCAAATATGATCTAGCTGGTTCTCTGTAGTGTGGTTTGGTGAGATCTATGTCAATTTGTGAGGAAATATTATGATGTCGATAACCAATTTGTTGAATGCACATATATTTGCAAATCTCTAACCATTCTCGATCCTTTCTCTTAGTCATTCCATGTCGTCCCATGATATCTTCATATCCTGTGTTGTCCATCAATAAAATTCGCTATGATTGATTGTAGCCTCTATTAGAACTGATATTTATTTTGTGTAGCATTGGATAACATTCATTGTGATCCCCAATTCTTTGTTTTGAATGATGTTTTGATCATTCTGGATCTGTGAGATTCGCATCCTACATGTTCATTTTATGCTGCTTTGGACATCATCAGAGCAACTTTCTGAGTGTGTGGAGCATTGTCCTCTTCGTGACTGGAGTACAGCAGCATATCTCCCGTATGTAGCGTTTGTTCGTCGATCTATGATCTCGCACAACCCTTTCCTCATTATCTGACGTGGATAACTATATCCACTCATCTTGGATTAGACTCCGCTAGTCATGGCTTCTCACTAAAACTTTAGAAAATCCAGCATTCATGATCGTATGTGTGTACTACTGAGGAGTCCTAGACTACAAAGATCTAACCGTTCAGTACTTTCGGGCTTTCAGTGGTGGTCTCTCTTAGATCGAATCCTGAATTTAACTATTAAAGTTTCTAAAATTGTTAATTGAAACTTTATTATTATTCAAAATAGATTATACTCGTACTAATTTATTGAACAGGTTACAACCATTTACAATTGAATAAAATCTGATATGTTTAGATACTTATGTGAACTTGATCGCAAATTTAGGTTCAATATCGTTTTACCATTCTATATGAACTGCATAGATGTAAAATAATAAATAATCTTTAATTACTTAAAAATGTAGTTCCATAGATACTTAACTCTTATATTACTACAGTTTTTCTTAACTATACCATTTACTATACCATAAAAGAAACAATATACAAGATAATTACAAGTTGATTTCCTTGTAAAAAACAAAGAAACAAACAAATTAATGACTATTAAAAATTAATCTAATTATAATTAACTATTTTTCAAGTCCTGTTCTGTTCTGTTCTCTCTCTCCCCCCCCCTCACTCCCCCCTCTCTCTCTCTCTCATTGTGAGGGATGGAAACATGAAATTTCAAAATGTAAATATTATATTTCATCATTTATGTCAATGAACAAGTGAACTTTCTTTTAAAAGTCATGGGATAACTAATTAACTAAAAAAAAATGTTTTAACATACGTTTTCAAGTAAACAACAACAAAAAAAATTGTAAAACATTTATCATAGTTTATCATAATGTTTCTTTGTTGTGTTTTTCATTATACGGAGACTTACAACTATAAATTGTCTACATGGTATTAATGTTTTTTTGTAATATAAATGTCTTTGATTTACATGGATTAGTATACAGTAATGAATAAGTGATGGTTAGTAGGTACGGTGAATTTATTGTATACGTTAGTGTGTACGATTATTATTACTACTGACGATTTATGTGATATTATCGATATGGAAGTTGTGGATTCTGGGAAATATGAAAGATAAACACATTGGAAACATTAGGGAGATCATTGTTAATTCGATATTTAACTCTGTTATAAATACTCCCAAATGCCATGGTACGACCGAGAGTGGGGAGAGTCCGCTCTCCCTCTCCAAATGCTCTCACATGGCCACGCGTATATAGTTCACCCAGGAAATTCCTACTCATTGCCTTCTCGTGGCCACGGTGTTGTTTACAAAATTGAGAGGACGAAAAGCGAATGTCCGGCGATCTAACCGGGTTGGTGGACACGGAGGGTCCATCTAGGGGAGTTGCAACACCCTAATTCCAACCCAGTGGTGTACATGGGCCCCGGTATCCTGGGGGTACAAGTGGCTTATCAATCAGTTGTTGGCCACCGGCTACCATGCGACTGCATCTCCTCACGATGCTCCACTGCCTTGTGGGTTAGACCTTTAGGTCAAAGGCTCCGCGTGGCCCCCTAAGAAAACCACCTGTTTTGGTTTGCGCATCTCGGCAGTATCCCATCCCTCATACAAATCAAATGAGAATTGTGTGGCGCATATATATCTGGTGCCCCTTTGTGCCAATATTTATGTGCTTAAATAAATAAAATAAACAAATCGGTTATAAATTAGGTTTTATCAAAAAGTAAAGCTTGATTTAGTATATAACAAACGAATATCGTGTTATTCAAAAGTTGGTGTCAATTTAAAAGATCAAAGGGAACTGAAATAATAAGTCAAATCAATGTATCGTTACCGATAAATGATTAAAAAGATGACTTAAGCAAATGCAAATATTCACATGGTATTAATTGTTTGAATCTTCCCATTGATGTTTAGGACGGCGATCGACTGCAATCGATAACGCGATGGCGTTTGAAGCGAAAGGTACTGGGTTCGAGTCGCAGAGTGAACATCAACTCTGAGATGCAGGTACATCCAGTTGACGAGTCCCAAATAAGACAAAACGCGTGTCTTGGATTCCACTGATAGCGGCTATCTATCTTTGCTTAAAATGCAATCATTATTCAGTCATGCGACGTTTGTTGATACGTATATTCTGGAAATAGGTACAAAGGAACATAAACAGCTAATATGTTGCAGGTCAACATTTTTAAGCAGTGTACATTTACTATATTAAATAGTTTTGGATGTAAGACTTTCAGATCTGATAGTTAGCATATCACGATTCAACCACTAATCGGTAATATAAGCTCCCGTAATATTTGGAAATTCTGACTGCTGGACTACTGAAGGTACTGTAATCGACAACAAACCTCGATGTTTCTGGGTTTTTTTATCGAGTTTGTCCTTATAGAGCGTCCTAAACTAGAACTATACATATAAATTGTGCTCCATGATTTTCGGTAATTCTCCAGATAATTGTTAATCTGTGATACAGACTATGTTTAAATACTCAAAAAATCACTTTCAGCAAAAATGAATAAACGTTGTAAATGAAGTTTTTCATGTATTTTTTCTTTGGTTTGATTATTATCTATGCTTAAAAATAAGATTTTCTTTTTTTTTTGTTATTTTTATTATGATATAGGCCTGGAACTTATATAGCACGATTGCATGCTATTGATGTAGATTCAGAAGAAAATAGTCGTTTAACATATGGGATTAAACCAAATGAGCATACAGATATACAATCATTATTTGAATTAGATCCGATAACAGGTGATGTAATATTAAAACGTTCATTAGATGACAATATGGATTCAATAAAGATAAAAGAAAGTGGTAACGTTAAAGATCATAACTTAGTGAATATTCATAGTAGATCTATTCAAGAAATGGAAATTAATCGTCGAAATCAATCGACTAATACAATAAACAAAACGAATTTTAAACAAAATGAATTAATGAATAAATTATATGAAAGTCAAATGGCATATAGTTTAGTTGTTACAGTAAGTTTAATTATTCTTAAGATTGTAAATAGTTTTTTGAAACATTTAGATTTTGAATATGAACTACTATTTATAACTTACTAAGTAGTATTGTAATGAACGAACAGTAATTTAGTAAAATGTGGAAATCATACATCAACAATATTAGTTGAACATCTTCTATCAGTTTTCATTGACATGGTTCATTATTCTTTAAGTTCTGTTGTTATTACAATAACTTTTAGTTACCCATTCTGTTCTCTTCAATTGAATGTTCTCAATCTTCTACTAGCATATATTCCACTTTGGTTTAGTGCTACATACTACTTATATCTGTCAATATAAGTAACATAAACCACAGTGTGACTAACTAGCTGTTTTAAAATGTTGTATTTCTACCTATAAAAGGTTATAATTTTAATAACGAATAAAATTTAATTCACTTGGTGTTGTATACTTGTATCTTCCCATTTTTATTTAGGATTGCAATCGACCAGTCTCATGTTGGCATATATGCATCCTGTGCGGACTACTTCCACTCCTAGTCACTATCCATCTTATAAAGCTCGTGAATTCAGGCAATATCGAGGTAGTCCGCATATGCCAATAAGAGACTGATCAATGACAGTCTTAAATAACAATTGCACGATACAAGTATAGAACACCAAATGAATATAACTTCATCCCGTTGCACAAGCTGGTGGCTATCAGGATTCAGTAGCTATGTGGATAACGTGGTGGCGTTTGAAGCGAGCGGTAATGGGTTAGAGTCTCAGAATGAACATCAACTTTGAGATGCAGGTATATCCAGCTGACGAGTCCCAAATGGGATGAAACGCGCGTCCTGGATTCCACTGCTAGCCACTATCCATTTCTGCTAACCATGCTTGTGAATTAAGGTATATCGAGGCAATACGCACAGTATGCACATATGCCAATTAGAGACTGATCAGTTGCAGTCCTAACAAATCGATGGGAAGATTCAAACAAACAATACTAAGTTGAATTTAAACTTCACCCCATCGCACAAGCAAGTGGCTATCAGGACTCAGTCATCGAGTGGATAACGCAATGGCGTTTGAAGCAAGGGTACTGGGTTCGAATCCCAGAGTGAACATCAACTCTGAGATGCAGGCACATCCAGCTGACGAGTCCCAAATAGGACGAAACGCGCGTCCTGGATTTCACTGCTAGCCACTATCCATCTCTGCTAACTGATATACCAGTTTTATTATTCACTACATCCAGTACATCCGGTTTTTTTGGGCTAACATTATTAACTTCGTAAAACCGTTTACTAATATTCACTTCCCTATTTCAAATATCATTGAATAGAATAAAAATACGTGATTTTAAAAGTTGAGATCATAAATCAATTGAAGCTAGACTACCATGGAAACCTGTAAGCACTGAAAGGCCGTTTCGTCCTATTGTGGGACTTCTCAGTAGCGCGCATCCACGATCCCGCCTCGTGAGATCCAAACCCATAACCTATCAGTTTTGCGCAAGAGCGCCTAACTACTAGACCATTGAGCGGACTGGCATCTAATGGTGTCAATGTCTAACTTCAACCAATACATGACAAAAACCGACAAAGATTAATATACTCAAAGTTATGAAATATAAACTATTACAAGTATTCAGTATGCTAGTTGAAAGTAATTGAAAAAGTAAAAAACAAGTTGATTTTGGAATGTTTTACCTCTATATTGTTAGTCCATGTGTTCATCAGTAAATAGAAGTAAAAATATTCAAGGTCATTTATTTAATGTCATGACACTATTTTGACTTAGTTCAAAATCATTTCTTTGATAATGGGATATTTAGACCATTACTATCAACAGTGATTGATCCTTCATTAATAAGTAGATTGCTCAATTACTGACCTTCTAGTTTCGAACCTATTCCTGGTTCTGGAAAACTTGTTTATTTTACTATTCAACATTCTTATTATGCGTGTTCCAGCCAAAAACATCTGGTGAAGACTACTGTGAGACCTAGTGGTATTTCTGGAACGGATTTCATTTTTTCAAGGCTCACAAACCAATCGCGTGAATGTGATGTAGTGAGAATCATGGCCACACAGATCTTTGTATAAATAATGGTATCGCACCAAAGGAGCAAGTAGAGAAGCTTGTGATTTTACTTTCCCCTGATTTTTATAGTCTACTACGTAACACACGAATTTTCTTCCGTGTATTACTTAACATGTATGCAGGTATACATCCCCTATGAGGTAATGTACGTTACATGCACACTATTAACACACAGGTTTTACCCCATGCATCCCATAGCATACACATGGGTATATTCTCCCACCTGGGAGAGTAGATGTTCACCGCTCCCAAAGAAAACCGATTCGCTACACTAGAGTGGCCCGTACACATTATATGCACATCAATCACACCATGGCTACTGCCCCAGTATTTCATGATGCACATATAAGCATAAACACTCTCTCGGGGGAGGTTGTGGCTCGCCTCACCCTAGTATATGCTACCACCTCTATTTATTATGTCTTGGACCTGACAGATTGGCAGCTGATTTTATTAGACATTAGACAGACATTTTTGAAGTCCAACGTTTCTTTTGTACGAAACTTCATGCGTGCCCTTTGCAAATACCATAAATACTTTAACTACTTAGGTCCAAGAATTTCCGAAATTCTCACAGGTCAGCATTATCAATCTTTAAATCTGGTACTAAATCAATATATATCCTATATGTGATTCCTAATTATGTAATATATTTGACTAATTTCTCCTGAAAGTGATCAAGAGATAAATATAGTCCAGAATGAAAGTTTCTAAACACATAATAATGACTCATGATTTCAAGTATATATAAAAATTACTTAAAATATCCACAGAAAACTCCCTTATCATATGCTCACTAGTGACTGGCTCCATGAAGTATTTCATGGAGTTCTAGTGAGAAGCAGTAACCAGTGGAGTTCAACCAGGTCTGTTGGGAGATATCAACTCACTGATGACATTGGTGAATGGTTGCTCCTCTTCGTTGATTGGTTGTAGTTAGACATTAACACCGTTGAATACCAGCCAGCTCAGTGGTCTAGAGTTAAAGTGCTCGGGTGAGAGACTGACAGATCCTGGGTTTGAATTTCGCGAGGCGGGGTTGTGGATGCGCACTGCTGAGGAGTCCCACAGTAGAACGGGAAGGCCGTCCAGTGCTTCCAGGTATTCGATGGTGGTCTAGCTTCAATTGGCTCATGATTTCAAGTATATATAACATAATAAAACAGTCAACAAATTAATTCAAAGTGTAAGTAAACTGCAATACATTTTAAGTATAAGATAATCTCTTATGTTCGATGTAGCAGAATATCTCTGTCATTGATCGATTACGACTTATTTTTTTTGATATATTAAAATCTGCAACTTAATTGTGATCTAAACATCTCCTTTTTTAATATAAATATTTTTCTTAACTTACAGGTAACAGATAATGGCGAACCACCGTTGAAATCTTCCACCATTTTAAGAATTCTATTTACACCACCATTTTATCCACCGAGTGATTCAAAAGAGTCACCAAATCCTATGATAATAAAACATTCAGTTCGACACAAATCATTGAACAATCATCCTGACTTTACTAAAGGTCAATCTATATCAAATGAATTCGATCTAGATACACCAGTAGAAAATGAATTAACTGGAATCGGTGTACTACTTGGATTAGTAACAGCTATTGGTTTATTTGTATGTTTTTTAATTCTTGTCATAATGATCACTTTTTATCAAAGTCGAAGATTAAGCGAACATAGAAAACAATTAATTGAGAGAAGAAATCAAGCATATAATCAACATCATGTAGAACAAACACATCAGTCACAGTTACAACAACAACAGAATCAACAAAGTTCAGAGTTGGTTCAACTTTCAACTGTATCACCGTCAATCAATACACAATCACCTCGTTATATGCCACATTCAATTCTTCGTCATATTCCTGTAGAACAATTAAATAAATCTGATAGAAACTTAATGGATTCATCTCGACAATATTATTTACAAGCATTAAATGAAGTAATGCCTAATTCACAAAATGAATTAATGACTAGTTTTACAACACTTTGAAGATGTACGTTTTTTCTTTTCCTTTCTTTTTTCTTTGGGGGGGGGGTGGGTGTATGTATTTGCGTACGGTTCGCTTTCTTCGACTTCTTTTAGCTTCATTTTATCTTGTCAATGTTAATTTCTTTGTTTACTGATTTGTACATTGAGAAATTTAATAACGATTATCAGTTTGATAAATTAGGTTATACATTTGTTGTGAATTATAATTTATCCTAAAAAAAATTTATAAATAGACTATTTTGAAGTGATTTAGATAAAATAATTTTTCAGAGGGGGTTTTGTGGAGAATTTAGTATTTTCACTGTTGAAATCATGAGTCCGTTGAAGCTAGACCACTATCGAAAACCTGGAAGCACTGGATGGACGTTTCGTTCTATTATGGGACTCATCAGCAGTGCGCATCCACGATCCCGCCTCGCGAGATTCGAACCCAGGACCTACCAGTTTCGGTTAAGGGCTTTGGCTCGAGATTGGTAGGTCCTGGGTTCGAATCTCGCGAGGCGGGATCGTGGATGCGCACTGCTGAGTAGTCCCATAATAGGACGAAACGTCCATCCAGTGCTTCCAGGTTTTCCATGGTGGTCTAGCTTCAATTGACTCATGATTTCAACAGTGAAAATATTAAAAGACAATTATTTTTTGTTATTTTGATGATGATGGTGATCACAATTTGTGTAAAGTGCTGTAAATATATATAGGGTAAATAAAGAGAATTCATGGAATAAAAGTTAGAATAGTTCAATTAATTCTAGTATAATCCATAGTATTGTTAGTAGTAAATCGAAGCAAAAAGAAAGAAAATCGAGAAATAAGAATAATAAAGTAACATTACAATTTACAATCTAAATAAAGTAAATATTAGCGATAAATATGCCTTTGGGAATGATAGATAATGTCACATCATGCAAGGTGGTCGTATAAAGGTTAAAACTCTATTACTGATATTATTGAAACTACTAGTCAGTGACTCAGAGAACTGATCTTTTGACATGGTTTGATCATCCTTGACCTTTTCTCAGTCTATTATCTTTTTTGTAAAACATCCTAATCGCTAAGCAATACAATTACAAACATTTCACTATTTTCGTATCTAATTTAGACGTGATAAACAGTTCTTTATTACTAATCAAATCCTAATGATTTAGTTATAGTGTGGTCGCTAGTCTAGGTATCTCGTCGCTGCTTGAATAGCTCAATGTTACGTCTAAGTTTGAAGAGATGGTTAAAGTATGTTCAAATCCCACGTGAAGCATCGGTTCGCCTAATATTACAGATATCCCTTATTTGCGTATGCCGAACAGCACTTAACCTACGTTTCGAGTTTCCTGTTAACCACTTCCAATTATCTTATAGGAGCCATAGGTCTGACTCCAATGGGATCGTATGAATGGTTGTTGTCAAAATATATATCCTGTCTATCCTCGTATGTAACAAATGACTTAATCCGCGTTGGTGAATAACGGAGTTAAATAAGTCGAATACGAGAATGGATTTCGAATACATATATTTTGTACACTCACTGATCTGGAAAGGAAATCAGATAGATAAAGCGAATAGAAGAGAGAGAAACAGAAATGACATGCATTGGAGATGGCGGGTAAGCCAACTTGCTTTAATCAAGCGTTAACCAATATTTATAGTCAGGCAAGAATAAATGACAGACATGTGATACATAGGATAAGAAATGTACACACATACTCTCGTATAAAAAATAGTCAGGGTTGATAAGTGAATAATTAACAAGGTCAAAATGTCACTCAAGATGGGTAGGTATATTGGTTTGTCCTGAAGATATAATAAGGTATATGGGCTTGACATATCAACCGACACTACAGCCTGATGTAATGCAATTGTACAAGATAAATATGTTTTATATTCATCAGTAGAATGTGCTTGTTTAAAGAGATTCTTTGAATTATTAGTGTCGATCATAACAATCAGTATTGCTATAATGTTATATGACACAATGTGAGAAACAATGACATGAATCGAACTATGAAGAAGCTTAAGTTAATTGTAAGCTTATTTGTTTAAATCTACTGTTTAAGCAAATTATTTTCATTTCATTATGATATCAGTTATAAAATCCTGATCTTAAATTCTTGAATCTCATTATCATACATTATTTCCCATGAAACTTTAATGCTTCAAGAGTCAAATTATCTTCACATCAGCTACGACAAATGAGTTATTACAATCACTTATATATCTGATCAATAATATCACCAAGATTAAATTAGGCTAGATGTAAGTTGTAATGAAATAACATGGTGTACTGAATCTGGACCAAAGTATTGAGTATATCTAATTGAAATGAATCCGTCAATCATTTGGAAATGAAACATACAACTACTGGCGCCTTCAGAATGTAATTACGTTATTATAGCGGAAAAAATCTAGCTTAATATTAAAAAACATTTTTTGAAAAATTATCAAACCTTCATTAACGTAAACAACAGTTATTTAATATATTCTGAAATGTAAAACATTTAAACAAAAAGAGATGCTTATGTTGAAAGTACTTGCAGGATTAGAACGCTTGTATTATGTACATTATTAATGCTTACCAGCAGTTGTGCAGATATCAAATCATTTATCTTGTATTGGCTTGGCTTCGTTAATCAATCACTTTGATAACCGTTATTATATAAATCGCAAAAATGTTTGAAATCAAAAGGAAATAAGAAGCGGCAACTACAGTTTATTAGCGTATAGCACAGATCACAAGGCTACAAGCACATCGAATGGATTCGAAGCAGAGAGGTGAATGCGCATGCGGACAAGGGAATACAGAGTTAAATTTATAGTCAAATCGAACCAAGGCGCAGCTAGTCTGGGTTAAGGCTAATAATAGGATTCTAGTACATGGAAAACAGAATGAATGATCGAGCGATATTTAAGCGATTAACAGTTAACCTAGCGCGTAGGCTATCATGTGATCATGCGTACACGTTAATACAGATGTGACAGTGATCATAATAGAACAAACAAATAAACGAGCTGTTAATCTTCGAATAACATCGTTTGTAAGTTAATAAAAAACAGTTACTTAAATTTAATCATAATCGAAATTGATTGTAAGAGAGTTGTTATATTCTATCTATCTTAGTTTCAGTCATAAAAGGATTGTAACTAACTCTACATATGTACAGCATAAATACAGTATACTTCATAGAACACGTTTGACATTCATCATTTACACAACTGAGACGTGCCTATCTAGAAGAAAATAATTATTAGAAAGGTATTTATTGACACAATAATTTTTCTTTCACCTTTGTCAACTAGTACCAACACTACTTTTGTCAAAAAAATATTCAGTTTACAATGTTTGCTCAAATTATCCATGAACAAACTTGCCATAACCATAGTGACTAATATGAATCAATATTCTGGTGTCTATGCCCTTGTAATCAATACATAATTTGAGGTGACTTTCTGAAAATTATGTATACATCATAGATGATTTTAGTAAAGAACTAAGGTCAACTAATGATCTTTTTTATTTTAGAGAATACAAAATAACTACCATATTTAAGTAGTATATTAACATTCAAAGTATTTAAGAACCTTTTGAGAGAAATGTAATTTGAAAATCATGTGAAAATTGGAAAATTAGTAAGAACGGTGAAAAAAATCTTGTTTTTTTTTGTACACATTAAGATAAAATCTTCCCAGTTTCATCTAAGTTAATTGCATTGTAGTGAACAAGAACACGAATAGGGATAGTTGAATGTATTTGACACGAAATATATAGACTATCTCACTGAAATCTAACAAACATACAGTAAACAGTTAATTTGTAAGCTATGAATCAATTGTCTCAATCCTTCTGCAAATATCAGTTCATAGTCTTCGATTATTATTGTTCATGCATTTTCATACCGATTGCGTTTCGTTTCCGTTCTTTCCTAATCGATCCTCTACTGAAATACATTCACTGCCTGAACATCATCATATACTACTTGTGAGGATATAAGTACCCCACACCACTGTATTTGTCTCAAGTAAAGGCTTATAAAAATCACAAATGACTTGATTATTTATAAAGGATCAAAATTGAAAGTTGTTTATTCACAAATCATGAGAGTTATTCTTACATTTCAAGGTTGCCAAACTCTCTGTCTTGCATTCATTAGTTTTCGTTACATACTGCTATCCTATTCAATTTTCGAAAATCGTGTTCACTAAAAGCTTATAAAAATCTATTATTCTTTTAACAATGTAATTTATAGAATACTCATATGCGTTTTTATGTGTAAAATGATTTCATGTTTGAATAAGCATTGTGTGATGAGTGCTACTGATGTCAACATATATAAGTAGTATGTATCATTAATCGAAAGTGAAATGCATGGAAGAAGAATGTTAAGAAGGTCAAAGAAAAAAGAACGAGAACAGAGAATGATTGCTGTGGAAGTGAAGGAACAATGAAGTCTGAGACGATTGATTGACGTTTTGCAAAGGAAGTATATGGTTCCCAGACTTCACTAAGAGATTTTGTAATTCTGATTTCGAATACACTCCATTGTTTCCACCTGTGTTCTTGTGACGAATACTAAACCTGACTACAAGGCAGTTTTACTTTCTACGCTGTATAATAAGATAGATTTCGTGCAAATAAGCATGATAATGTTTCTTAAATCTGTTTGATTCTTCCATAAAGTGTTAGGCCACTTCAAGAACATTCAGACTGCATCTAAAAATCCCGTTCATTATTATTATTATTGAAATATATTCAATTTTTCACCGTTTTTCAAAGTACTATTTTCTTTGGATTCTAGTTAGTCAATTAGGATGTCTACGTATGAAGACAACCAGCTAGAATTCGCTGCATATTTTCATGATTAAGTTTATCGATTTTCTTCAATGATAAAATACATACAAGTATGAAGTTCCTCCAGGATTTTATCTGCAAACTTCATTGTAAAATATGTTTACATTGGCCAATAGTATTGTACTCATTGAAATCAGAGTTGTTTAAATTATTTGACACAAAATAATACTATGAATAACCTGGTTGACTAGGAATGTTATTTCGGTGTTATTATTACGATGTTAATGAAAGTAAGCATCAATATCTGTTAATAATTAACCTCAATAAACTGCTTTGGAACCTAGACAAAGTGAAGCAGCGCATAGTCAGCTGGAATTTAAAGTGAGAGTTACTTTGTTGAAGTCCCAACGCAATCAACCAGTTGATAAGTCGCAAATAGACATCTATTACCAACTGCATCCATATATTCCAGTCA